AAAGACTGTTGAGAGACAAGTAGCAGAGGACATCTGCAGCACACTGAGTGTGGTGAGTTGACCTTGGCTACACACCAGGTGCCCACCAAGCTGCTCTATCACTCCCTCTCCTCAACTGGACGGGGAGAAAAATATGATGAAAGGCTCATGGGTCAAGATAAGGATAGGGAGATCACTCAGCAATTACCATCACAGACAAAACAGATTTGACTCAGGGAAATTAATTTAATTTATTGCCAATCAAAATCAGAGTAGGGTAATGAAAAATAAAAACAAATCTTAAAACACCTTCCCCCCTGCCCCTCCCTTCTTCCTAGGCTCAACTTCACTTCCGAATTCTCTACCTCCTCCACCTCAAGTGGTGCAGGGGGATGTGGAATGGGGGTTGCGGTCAGTTCATCACATGTCGTCTCTGCCACTCCTTCCTCCTCACACTCTTGCCCTGTTCCAGTGTGTGGTTCCTCCCATGGGAGGCAGTCCTCCATGAACTTCTCCAACATGGGTCCTTCCCACAGGCTGCAGTTCTTCACGAACTGCTCCAGCATGGGTCCTTTCCACATGTCATTTCCACGGGGTACAATCCTTCAGGAATAGACTGCTCCAGTGTGGGTCCCCCACGGGGTCACAAGTCCTGCTAGCAAACCTGCTCCAGCATGGGCACCTCTCTCCACGGGTTCACAGGTCCTGCCAGGAGCCTGCTCCAGCGTGGGCTTCCCACAGGGTCACAGCCTCCTTTGGGCACATCCACCTGTTCCAGCGTGGGGTCCTCCATGGGCTGCAGGTGGATATCTGCTTCACCATTAACCTCCATGGGCTGCAAGGGACAGTCTGCCTCACCATGGTTGTTGCCATGGGCTGCAGGGGAATCTCTGCTCCAGGTCTGGAGCACCTCCCCCCCTCCTTCTTCTTCACTGACCTTAATGTCTGCATAGTTGTTTCTCTCACACATTCTCACTCCTCTCTTCTGGCTGCTGTTGCACAGCAGGTTTTTTCCCCCTTCTTAAATATGTTATCACAGAGGTGCTACCACCATCGCTGATTGGCTCAGCTTTGGCCAGTCACAAATCTACCTTGGAGCTGGCTGGCATTGGCTCTATTAGACATAGGGGAAGCTTCTCACAGAAGCCACCCCTGTACCCCCCCCCCACCAAAACCTTACCACACGAACCCAATACAATAAATCTCACAATGGGGGGATACCTTTTTTCATCTGTTTGTACTGCTTTAGCACCCAGGCTCACTTCTGTCTGCTCATACCTGTCAGTGCCTAAGTAGTGATTGGCTCCATTTAATTATAATTTGTGCCCCATTTGTGAATATATGTACTGTATCTGCAAGGAGCTTCTGACTGAGCAGCACTTGACTGCCTGAGCAGTGAAGACATGCCTTTCCTGAGGTTGCAGGTGATGGACAGCTACTTCTCCTGGCAGTCACCATGCGTTTGACTGTTTCTTCTGCAGTGCCACTGCCTATATATTATTCCTTGTGTGTTAGGATGGACAATAAATGGAACAGTTTCTTCCACTTTGCTGTTATTCGCATTGAAACTTATACAAATGATAAAATGCTGGAGGTGAACATGTGAAAGATAATTGGGATTCCACCCAAGTTGAAATGGGCAGCTCTGTACACCCCTGAGAAAATTTACGGAGCTATACTAGTCTTATAAGCTCTCGACTGTCCTGTGTATTTCTGTGAAGACCTAGAAATTTGAGATTTGGCAGAAATCCTGAGTGCCTGGTCCTGTTTACTAAATGGAAACATATATGGACTGCCAAGTTTCAATTAGGATTTGGATTAGGATCCAAGTTTCCTTATAAACACATGAAGTAATCTTTCTGCTCAAGTCAGTACCCATCAGGCTTTAGAATACCATAGGTCCATTCTTGGGCACCTCACTTCAAAAATCTTAGCCAATTGGAAAGGGACCAGAAAGAGAGCAATAGGTCTAGAAAACACACACTACTAGGAATGGCTGCAAAAACGTGGCTTTAGTCCTTAGGGGTTTAGGTTGATTTGTCTTCTGTTGAGAGTTATTTCCAAGCCAGATCATTCCGATGATTTTGTTTATAGTGCTGCTCCACAGTTATATTTGAAGGGTTGGTGAACTTCAGCACAGAGGAAGGAAAAAGTATCTAGGGGAATGGAAGGCTGAAACTTCTTAAGCCATCTTTGTCAAGAGAGTTAACAAATCAGATAACTACAACCCTGCATTTAACCATATATACTAGGTGGGGGTGTTTGTTTTTTTTTTGTTTTCCTTTTTTTTTCTCTTGGCATGTGAATTGCTACCATTCCTTGGTTAGTATGAGTCATCAGTTATAACTCCTCCATCCCAGAAACAGTTCAGATAATTAATTCTGACACTGTCTGTGTCTAATCTACAAGTTATCAAATCTTGCAATGTTGGGGTCAAGCACACTGAGATCTTCAAACACTTATAGTTTCCATCAACATTCACGTAGCTGGCTGTACCTCTTCCTGTCTTGGCTCAAAGCATGGAGCTCAAGAAATCTGAGCTCTGATTAACAGAGCTAGGTACAGTTGGCTCTACCTGTAGCCATCCCATCTCCATAGCATGAATTAAAACCATGTGAAGGAAGCAAACATGTTTATCTTCCCTCCTGGAAGATAGTTCCAGCACTGCGGCTAAATCTGATTACATGCTTGCATGTAAGTGATGAAAGTGATGGACAAGGTGAGGGCAGATCTGAACTCATCTTAACTGACAGTATAGATGTATCTGCAAAGTCACTTTTGCATTTCCTTTGCTTAAGTTTAACCCATCTAACTTTGAACATTTAATGGAGGGAGTGGTGGTGTTCATAACTGTTCTTTGGAGTTGCCTGTCTCTCTTCACTGACTAGAGGGAAAAATTCAGACTGTGCTCCTGAATTAATTGTTTCTGTTACATGTCGAGATGTATACTAGCATAAACTGATTCCTGCCATTCTTGTAGCTAAACTTAAACTCCTCCTTTGGAGGACTTTAAACTTGTATTCCTCCTTTGCTCTTGCTATTGCATCACTAATGAGGTTCTCTCTTCCCATGTACCCTATTGCTGTCACCCTTCCATTTACTTGGTCTACAGAGAAGCGTTGGTTGAATGGTCCTTGCTCTGCTCTAAAATTGAAGTCATAAAAGCAGTAGATAAGGAAAGGAGAAGCATTCCCTTGTGAGTCTGAGAAAGGACTCTAATAATTAGTCTTTTATATGGTCTTTTACGCACTATGGAGATTTCACATCTTATGCTGATATTGTGCTAATGCAGGAAGGCTCAGAGGTCCTGTTTCCACAGCCTTCCACAAGTTTGAATACTTATCTGAGGCTTATCCAAATGCATCAGATGTGGGAATTGGACTGGAAATCTCATGGGACACTCACATTTTGGCTATAGTTGATTTAAATATGACACATTAAGTAGCAGGCTTTGTGGTTTTTCAGTACTTTCACTTCTGATTTAGAGCAGGAAGGGTGGAGGTCTCAGCAAATATTAAACAATAATAAAAAGCACTGAACTGATTTTAACTTCAAATAATACCTTTAGTTTTAAGTCAAAGCTCAGGTTATGGTTCAGGTTGGTTCTTATTTGAGATTTCTGCCTATAACTGTGCCATTGTGGGTTGTGAGATTTGTATCTTAAGCTGCCTTCCAAAGACAATCGCAAAGTCCATAAGATTACATTTTAGTGGAACTACTTTGCTTGATTGAAAAAGCTTCCAAAGACAAGTCTTGCTTAGCCCATCTTCAGTGTCCTTGGTTTGTTTCATCTTCTACTCCATCTTCTTTCTGTTGTTGTTTTCCAGAAAAAGCACTGAATTCCAAGTTACACTGTTGGCTTCGGTTGGTATGTGATTACCATAAGGAATTTTTAAGTAAATGAAAAAACATGGATTTTCCAGTACTTCTCTGCTCAGACAAAAAGCATAGAACAGATTTAGGAGGAAATTATTGCAGATTCTTTTTTTTTTTTTTTAGCAGTTGGCAACTCATCAATGTTTTTCCAGCTAATCTATTCATCACATTATTTGTTGGCTTTGTCTAGGATCTTTTTCTTTAAAATTTCTCAACAGTTTTGCCCCTCCTGTAATTTCCTCAGTGGTAGACCTGTTGTGACCACTGAATTAGATGAACTATTGTTCTGACTACTACTACTTTAAAAATCAGAAGAAAGGTTGGAGCCAGGCATACTACCTGGATAAACCATTTAGAAGATATCTGGTTGGAGCTATATTTCTCCTATATTAAGACATGATGCCCAAACAACGTAGCCATCCAGTTACTCTAGCAATAGCTGAAAAGGTATCCCGAAAGTCACAATGTAAGTTGTAGTAACTTCTACTACTCCCAAATCCCAAATCTGCTCCTGGGCAGAAAATATAGAGATGAAAAGCTCTGTCTCCCATTACTGGCCCCTTGAACCATCCAATATCCCAGAAAGAGTTTGTTTTAAAGAAAAAAACTTTATCATATTTATTACAAACACAGTAAAGCGTCTCCGATATCTGAAAGACAAAGATAATATGGCTGTTAGGGTTAGTCTCACTATATCCCAAAATGTCAACACACTTGCCAAAAATGAATTTTATCAGCTCAGTGCAGCCAAGGGATTTAGTTTATCTAACTGTCCTACAAGGAATAAATAGTTTGCCACTGTTTTTGAAGATTGGGGTAAATCTAACATTCTATTGACATATGCTACAGATTTAATTTAATGCTGCAGTTCAGATGTCTTCTGATAAATTTTGGTAAAATCTATTCTAAGAAGAATGGAGCTGTTTCAGTATTTATGGGGTTTAAAATGCAGAGTTAGCAAAGGAAACGTTAATTGAAACAATGTTTGTGTATATTCTTGCAGTGATTTGGAGAATGTTGCTAAAGTTTGTTGGTCAGTTGGTTCTGAATATTAGAAGTTTAATATTTTTCAGGTTTACTGGTCTTTTCTATAGTGAGAAAATCGTCTAATGAAGTGATTAAATAGCTCAATTTTTATTTTTTAGGCATATTGGAGATAACATCTGTAGAAATCGGAGTTGTGGCAGTTAAGTCCATTAAGAGCAACTATTATTTAGCCATGAACAAGAAAGGAAAAGTCTACGGCTCTGTAAGTATTCTTTTACCTTCCAAATGGATTGCAGTCGTCAGTATAGTTCCATCTCTTGCCTGCTAAAAACCCCACTTGGCTGTGTATTACTACTAATTAGAGCTGAAATGAGCTATTCATCAAAGTTTCATCCTGTGGTAAACCAGCAGCCCCTCTCTCTACAAGCTCCCTGGTGTTTTTTAGGCTCATATCATACCAAAGCAGCTGCTGGGGGATCTATCATGCTTACTGCTTCAGTCAGGTTTCTTATTAAGTATTGGCCGATGGAGAGGGTCCTACAAAATGTAATTTTTAAGGTTATTTTTCCCTGGTTTTTTTTTTCTGCAGTACAGCCACATTTATCAGTAATTCCAGGGGGATAAAGTGTACCTAAAATCTTGTAAACTTCAGCTGATGGAGGAGACATACCAAATTATCAAACTATGACTGCCATGAAGATGATTTCTAGAGTAGCCAGCTTTAAGTTGATTATATTAATTAATACATAAGATTATGGGCAGTACAGAGAGACAGAGACATGTATCAGCAGGCAAGATAAGCTTTGACTGAGCAGAATTTGGATATAATTTGAAAACTGTCCATATATACTCTATTTGTATTTGCGTACGTTTGGGGTTACTGATACTTTCAGTTTAAAAAAAACCAAACAAACCAAACAAAAAAACCCCAAACAAACCAAACCAAAACTAAACAAAACCCAGTAACTAGCCAAATATTGTTCTGGCATTACATCTGGTTTGGTAGTGAGTTTGAGCCCACATAAACGTAAACTCATTCAAGTCATCTCCAAAGGTTTTGAGCCAATCTTCAGATTGCTCAGTATTTAGAACATAAGGCTTTAAAGAGAGCACTTCACAGATAGGTACTGGGGCTGGGTTTATCCTCGGGGCAATTTAGCTAAGCCTACCTCTGCTGAAAATGATGAAGTAATGCCAGTCTGAGACTACCAGCAGAATTAACTGAGACTCGAGGGGGCTGAAATCATTTGGCCCTCTTTTTTTTTAAGGAAAAAAACCTGTTCATACAAAAGAAAGTTTAAAAGCTTTCTTAAACCCCGTTCATACAAACTATCTAAACTGTCCTCTCTCATCTGCGCTGTGACTAGTCACTCCTGGTTCATAAGGTTACTTCTGACCTTCTAAACTCCTGGGCAGCATCAAAGAATCACATTAAGAAAAGACCAGAACAGAGAAATGTTTCTTAAGCTCCTGTAAATGTGAATTTTAATTTCTAAAATTACACTGGTCAGAAATACAGGATGATCAGTGCTCAGTCCTGCACCATTGAGAGGTATAAGGGTATACTGAGTTGCTGACAAAGTTACCATCTGTCAGTTAAGCTCCATTCATTGGTCGTGGGTATGCTTCTGGACATATGTGAAGTTAACATAAATCACCATAGTCAATTCACATGTCTCAGTGAACAGTGTTTAACTTCATTCTTTGTGATGATCCATCCCAAAGCCTGAGATAAGTTTTCCTACCCAAGTTGTTAGCCACAGTTGATGTGATGAGGGTTCATTACGACCCTATACACACACAAAAGAAGGCAAAGCAGCTTTCATGTACTATAAGTGGAAACTGCTGCCATAAGATTCAGTAATTCACAGTGTATTAAAAATAGTGTTGACAGGAGGATACGAATGAGGAAAGCATTTTTTTTTAATTCCAACTGAGATAATTTATCAATATTCACACCATAAAATCACAACATAATTACTTATCAAAACCTATTCCATAATACTTCAGAGATTTCAAGAATGCTTCTGTTGTTATTTTTCCCATCCTCCCTAGACTTTCAGTTAGATTCATATTACTATAGTGTGGCATCTTTCAGATGGATATGAAAAACAGAACCAATAAAAATTGTAAAAACACTCTTAAGCATGTGCACAATAGACATTGGTTCAGGGTTATACTGAAATTTGTTTGAAATGAGCAAAGCAGTCCTAGGCTAACACTCAGACCCCTGCCAATAAGACTTTTTAACCACATCACATCATCTGTTCTCTCTGTATTATCTAAGAATAGAGATAAAAGTTTGTATTTGAGTACAATTCTGCATTTGGGAAAACAAGTCAAGCAAGACTGTTTCTATGTTTATCAAATAGGTTGCCATTTGACTGACTTTGGTTAGAATGAGAGAACAAAGGAAGACTCACTATTTGGATACTTTAACAAAATAAGGTGCTGGCAGATAGGAGAAATTACTGCAATTTAGAACTGTGATTGATGGTCATCTCCCTTCTTAATACCTTGAAGCAGAAGGTGATATATTACAGGAAGTAAAAGTTAAATGATCTGTATGTAGCTTTGTGAATACAGGCAGTACCAAGGGTCATTTTGCAGAGTCTTCGCTTGATAGTGTCTTACCCAACAGTCATTGTTCAACTAACTACTAATCACAAATTTGAAGAGCATTTTGGAAGCCAAATTGAGTTTGAATATGCGCAATTCTGTTAGGAAAACATAAGCATGTGTTCTGTAGTCTTAGCAGCAACTAAGTAAAACATTGATTAAAGACCTGAAAATTCTTACTGTATCAAAGTACTGAACATTAACTAGTTTAAAAATTCTAATTTAAATTAATAGGAATGGAAAATATATTGTTTAACAGGTCCATTTTATTAATGTGGATACTTTATATCTTTATTAGCTGAATATCTAAGGATTTAGATCATAATAAAAAATAAAACATCCCTGAAATGCTTATCTGTACCATGAAAATTCTTTTATTATTCAGACATATTCCTCATCTTATTTGTAGACACATTCAAAATTCTGACATGCTTCTGCCTGCTTATTTCTGCAAAATAACATCTTGTTTTCTGAAAAGCAGAAGCAACAAAATGCTAATTTTGGGGGGTTATTTAAGTATGTTGTAAATGTCCTACTTTCAAAAGCTTTCTAAATGGAATATAAGTAACTTGATCAAACTGGGTTTTTATATGTAGGAATTACTTGTTTGTGAAAACAAACATTCTTGGCTTCATTATAGAGAAGCCGATCTGCATAAAAGTGCATTTAATGTTATAGAAAAAATAGTCTTCCCCATGCTTGCATTTTTTATCCTTTCTAAAAAACCGACAACAGTTTCTCCTTTTAAAATAGAAAAGCTTCATCCCTGGTACCCTACACAAAATTGCATATTTGTTTAACATATGGTATCAATAACCTGGTTCAAGATATTTAAGGGTTATATTTGTTAGAACCGAAATATGATGAATGATTCCAAGATTGCTACCTCATACTTTGAATTTATGACTGAGAATTTGATTTAATATTGTTGCCATATTCCAACACAGGGAATTTTCATTTTGTCTGTGAGTGAATTATATCCTTTTACTGCAATAATTGTGCACTGAATAATTGATTATGTCTTTTGTTGGTTTCACTTTTTGCAGTCTAACTGATGTTGCTTTAAATGCTATGGACACAGTGAAACTTTTCTTTAAAACACACTGTAGAATCCTAAAAGGGCATCACATACAGAACACTCAAATCTTCCAAAACATTTTTATAAATTATTTACCTTCAGTATGCTGCAACTCTGAAAGATTATGTTTATTCTGATTTTGTGCATTTATTTTCTTCTTTTAACAGAAGGAGTTTAACAGTGATTGCAAATTGAAGGAAAGAATAGAAGAAAATGGATATAACACATATGCATCCTTAAATTGGAAGCACAACGGAAGGCAAATGTTCGTGGCCCTGAATGGAAGGGGAGCCACAAAGAGAGGACAGAAAACAAGAAGGAAAAACACTTCAGCTCACTTTCTCCCAATGGTAGTAATGCCATAGATGAAGAAAGTATTTTATCAATGCAGTTGAACCAAAGGCTCTTATGTCAAGAATATTTGGTAATCCTCTTGAAGAGTTAATGCAAGGACATAGTGCAGACATCTGCTTGTTTGTAAAGAGAGCAGGGGAAGCCTTTGAAAGTGTTGTACTCATTGCTGGCACATGAAATACTTTTATTTATTTTGGTATCATATCTTATAATCAAGATACAAGCTGGATCAAATGGGATGGAAGTTATTGCCAGTGTGAACAATTTTTTTTAATCTCTGCGACAGAATTAAGGGACTTGAGACAATCTGATGAATTATCTTCATGGGGAAAGTTATTTATAGAATACAAACTCATATCAAAGACCTTAATTGCTCATTCAAGCCTAATGATCCAATGAACAGTTAGACATGCTACCATTTACTGGAAGCACTTGGATCACATGCACAAATAATGACATTTCTGGAGAAGCTTTGTGAAATAATGGATAGGATTAAGAAATATAAGCAAAGTAGTGTAAAACTGTTCTAACAAAACAAATAGTATGGTTTTCTTGTATGTTCTAACTTCATTTCTTTTTATTTCTAAGTTATTTATTTAATAGGATGTTAAATATCCCTTTAATTTGAAATGTTTTCCTCATTTGCTTCTTTGTTATTTTCCCTTTTTCTCAGAGGTTGATAGGTTAAAATGTCAAAACCTCATAAGTACTCTGAGAATAGGTATTAGACAAGGCTTTAAATGCAGAATTTAATGTGTATAATCCATTTTTTTCCTAAACTGTCCTGCACTTAAGCAAAAAAACCCAAACAAGCAGTGCTTGGATTTAGGGTATTGGGTGTCTTTACGTCACAGAGATTTTTTTACTTATCAGCACTCAAAAACAAACTTCAAGAAATACTTAGCGGGAGCAATACCTAAGGACTGAGGGATAGGAGATCCAAAATCATGCTTGTGCATTTATCAGAGATTATTACTCACATACATATTATATATGAGAGCTAACCAAGAAGCTGTGATGGTATCCAGCTTTAGCATGCCTTTCATATCCATCATAGTAACCGAAGGCTCAAAATACATAATATCTAACACATTTTTATGAAGTGTTACTGGTCCCATGGCTTAACTTGAGCAACTGCAGTGTAATAAAGTTAAGCATAGTACGAGGTGTGTTCAATTAAAGGTACATAAGGTTTGTTTTATGCTTTGCTTTACTCTAAAATTAGAGAGCTCTGGATAACTCACCAATGTAACCATATTGAAATTCATTTTGTTTGAGCAGATAAATAGAAAACAGTACATCAAACAATTTGTACCACTGTCTTCACATTGTATTCCACTAAATAAATAAATAAACCTTTGCAGTGTCTGTAGTAAGAAACAAAAGTAGTATAATATTATTTTGTTCCAAAAACTTTAAGTATGAGATTATATTGATGCTGTAGTTTTATCTTCAATATTTCTTGTCTTGAAAAAGGTTTTATTTTTATTGTTTGGTAACTGCATTTTGGTACAAAGGAGAGCCTTGTTTAATGTGCCTTTTTGAGAATGTTTAACCTCTATAAAGGCAGGTGGCGTTGGAATCTTCTATAACTTATTTAAGTCAATGTTTAACCAGCACTTCAATCTTAATCTGTTATTTATATATTAGCTGGTTTTTTAAAAGAAAAGCAAAAAATAATAGCTTTCTCATAAAATACAAAATGGTTAGATTGTATTTCCTGTCCTTATATGAAGTCAACTGTTCTAAAACCAGGAAGTCATTTGAGAGACAACATTTTAGCTGATGGCTAACATGATGTTTCATGGTGCTTTACCTCCATCTTACTTCTTCACAAATGAGATTTTTCTAGAAAGGGAAATAAGAATTTCAGATTTTAAATGTAATTGGAGGTCACAGCAAAACTTAACTACCATGATAAAAGTGAGGTTTTGTTGTTTAAAATTTGTAATCGATAATTAAAACTGACAAGACACAATGAGCCACCTGCAGCAAACATTCAATGTGAGATTGGACAAATGCAGTATTGGATGACCACTTAACATTTAGGGTACAAATGAAGTTCTCTTTCAACAGCATTACTTAGATGAGTTGGTCAGGGGAAAAATCATGCATAAACATTATCATAGTACTCAAAACACCATGCTGCTCAGAGGCCAAACCAGGAAATAACACTTTTCTAAAGTGAATCAGAAGCCATTTGTGACATGAATAGCAATGAAAGAAACGAAAAAAACCAAAACTTGAAGGGATCAATGATTCCTGCATGATTGGCATACTGTAATACCCACTGTGGTGGGAGCAAACTGCAGATGCTCTATCATCTAGAGTATCACAAATCCTCAACCATAAGCTCTGTTTTCTGTCACCCTCAGCATAACAGACTCCTGAGCAAAAGGAAAACAGGGGGAGGGATTTAAAAAAGAAAAGGGAAACAGAAATCACTGAGCAACAATGTATAGTATGTTATATTTAAATAAAAATAATAAAATGTGGGGAATAGAGAATGAGAGTATTGTCTCTTGTTTGTTTTATTAACCTGAAATGGTACTGCACAATAAAAATAAAGAGGGAAAAGATCTGTTGTACTACAGGATGTGGTTTGGTGCTATATAGCCCCAAAACAAAAACAAACAAACAAATCACTTGAACATTTGTAAGTTTCTTTAATATTTTGTATGTGCGAGTCAGCTATCTCCACGTTAATAACAACCAAATGCTTTAGATTCTCCCTGTAAGTATTCAGAACCACCTAGTTTATGCAGTGGAAAAAGCAATGAATTTAAAGCAAGCACATTTGCTGAAAGAATGAAAGGGTTTATGAAAAAGAACATGTATTCACATTTTTAAAGTAAAATTTAGATATGGAAAACTATTTAAATTTTATATGACTTCATTCAAGACATTTCAGGTTATAGAGTTCACTAAAGGTTAGTAAGCTTTAATAATACAATAATACCAGCGTATGAGCACAAATTTGTAATTCATGCCCCTGCTAAAACTGATTGTCTCTGTTCTCACATCAGCCGTAACTGCTTCAAGGAGTGATCTTGAAACTAATGAGGGAAGACAGCTTCTCTTTTGAAGTACCAAGTATCATTATTTACTCTCCTAAGTTAGATTGTGGGGCAGAATTTATCCTCCTAATTTCCTATTTAATTGGAGAAAGAAAAGTACAACACATATAACATAAACACATTTTCTGCTGCAGATAGTCAATGTATGGTTACTGATGGCGTTTTAAGAAAAAGCTCATTGAAACAATTTTAGTGCAACTGCAAATAACAGACAAACACATGCAAAAAATTTTGTTTCCCATCACATTATGGGCAAGAAATGGGATATGAAAAATTAATTGGTTTTGGACCAATCAGATTATGATTTATAGTTATGCTTATCCACTCAAAATATTTGAACCTCATGTTTAACTATATGGGAGCTTTCTTGGACTAAATTTGGGGACTGCCATTTTCTAATGAAGCATAGTGAATCTCAGATACCTGACTGATGTCTTTTCACTCACTAATCCCTGAAAAAAAAAAAATGTCCTTTGCCCACCCCAACAATGTAATGAAAATATGCTACTGTGAAAGGCAAAATAGAGAAACCATGATTAAGCCTCAAGTAACTGATTAGGGAGCACTGATCTCTAAGTTATCACAGTATAAATGAGGAGAATTTGCAGTCCTGAAATTCCTCACTGGGAATGAAACTGTGTACAGTGGCATCACTAATGCAAAATACTAACTCATGCAATTGAATAAATGGATACACTGGTGGTGACATCAGAAATACACATCCTATCAGACCATTGTCCAAATACAAGGCTATGAGAATTGCAATACCTGAAAAAAAGCACAGGAAGTACCCCACTGTATAGTTCTGTGTGAAATAATTAGGGCACTGATAGTATGTAGATAATATACCACAGTGAAAAAAACAGAGTCTATATTTACATCAAAGCTCAAACTCTATTTATCTTGAGACAATGTAGAAAATGAAGAATCAAGATATTACAGGTTCTTTATTACTGCTGAAATGTAAAGTGTGTGTATCTTTGGTGGAGCCATTCATCCAAGCTCCAGGTGTACTATTTCACCATCCAAATTATTTTATGGCTTGGTTTAAATGATGTTATATGTTTGTTTGTTTTTTTTTATGATGAAACTGTTTTACTAATTGCTCAATGAACTTTTAATCCTTTCATCTGCTAACTGTCTTCACAGAAGTCTGGGAAAAAAGGCCAAAAAATGGCATACACCTGAATCTGCACTTTTCATCTAGCTATAAATAGCCGAAAAACAGATTACATTTAACGTTGTACATTCAGGAACTCTTCTTATTCAGTGAGGCGTGTCTGAGTGGGATGAAACATGGCAGTCGCAAAACATTCTCCCCAAGTCATTTATCCATTACTTTCATGATGCCCAGCTAATTTGCATACTTTCCTGCATTAGAAATATTCTTGAAGTCTCACATTGTCACCATGTTTCCAAAATATATGTCACAATTGTATAAGCACTTTAGTTTTCTCTTTTATCTCTTTTCTTTTTAAGAAGTTGAGACAGCATCCAGAAAAGGAACTGCCTTATCAGGAGCCTATACATACAATTTAACATACTTGCCAAATTGTACTGGAATAATCCATTCAGGACAATCAAAGTGATTTGAGTGTAGTCTTCTAGTATCCATAGCAGTATACTTCAGATACAATTGACTACTTGAAAAAAGAAAAAACTATTATATTTTTACTCAATTACAGAAAGACTTGTCCAGGAACAGTAGAATCTTGGAAAAAAATCAATAAGCACTTTCTAGATGTTAGGACCAATAAGCTGGGACCTTTCAGGCAATATTTCTAACAAATCACAACAAAAAATGAGGGTATTAGGTGTAAATAAAAATCACAGCATAAGTATTCACATGAGGCATTTTAAATTTTGCACTAAAAATGTGAAAATGTAGGGTTTTTTTTTCCCCAGCTCAAAATACACACTCTTCATTTAATCTTTTTGAAAAAACATATAGTTTTCAGTTTACTCTTACACTAGTATGTGCAGCATATTTCTTGTCCAGTTACGGTAATTTCCTATGATTTCTTCCTTCTTTTACATGTAGCGATGACCCCAAACAACAAGATTCATAAATTGCTCACTGAAGGAGTCTGCATGACTGACGTCGGCAATATGCTGTCATTAAGGCCACAAACATAAGACTCTCATTTCTGGTTTATGTAGCACACGACACAGAGATCCAATGATTCTGTAGTGTTTTGATAACCCTTGGCTCCCCAGAAACTACTCCTATACATAAAAGTAAACATGAAAATTAGGTTCAAAAGTTAAATATGCATTGAGAGGATAGATTGGCTTTTATAACCACCACCATGCACAAGATACATTGCAAATAAAAATTTATTTTGCTCCTTCCTCTT